GATGTACCCGGGCTGCGGCCAGGGCCCTGTGGCGGTCGCAGCCCGCCAGGCATCTCCAGATGAGCTAGATGAGAGGGACAGTGTGTGCTAATGGCTTTAGTAATAATGCGGTGGGTGAAGGTGTGGGTGTTCATGTCTTTTAAATGGGTCTTAATGCCTACTGACTTTGGGCAGCAGGTTGGTTGCCGAGCTGAGACAGCTTGGCTCCTGACTCAGAAAGTGGCTCTGCACAAGCCTGAACTTCCGAACTTTGGGGTAGAACAGTAGGTTCAAGGTGGGTGGATATGTGGGAGGCGGTTCGGGAAAGCTCTGTCTACCTTCTGAGTAGCCAGTGGGGAAAGGAAAAGGGCGATATGCGGCTGGGAGTTCAGGATGAAAGGAGGCTGTGCCCTCCGAAACCTCGAGAGGGAAAACCCCGGGTGGACTCTCCCTCTATTCGAATAAAATTGCAGGACTTCTCTGTCTCCTCTATGCACATTGGCTTTTCGTAGCGTGATTTTCCGTGCACAGAGAAGTGCCATGGCCTGCCTTGGCTGCGTGCGTGTGCCGAAGTTGGATTTGGTAACTCCCCACAAGTTGTGTATGCGCAGATAAACCCCTGGGCTCTCATGTTAGCCCTTGTTTTGAGTTATTGTTACCCTGGATATAATTATTTTAGACTGAGCAGGCACTTTTTTTACTGGTGAGGTGAATCATAATTTGTTATTTATAGCAGTGTTTTAGCTGGTCAGGAATTCAGGGCTATTACTCATTTTGCCATGGCCTGAATGCAGGGCGTGGACTCCGAATACAGAACCGGGAGGCAGACCGAAGAAAGCTTGAACATGTAGAACCACTATAATAGAAATGAGTTGGTTTTCGGGTTTTTTTCTGTCAGGCTGGAGTTTTATTTATTGAATGTATTTCTGGTTTCAAAAGTGTGGTAAGGCGTTTAATAAGTGTGGGAAAGTTTTGGTCCAAGGCAAGGGGTTGTGCACTGTAGGGCAGCAGTGCTAACCAAGCTAGAAAACTTGTTTTGAAACTGAATGCTTTCCCCTTTTACACCAATATTGCACTTTTGGTTTATTTTCAACAGTTCTCTGACCCAGGCAGCAGCAGAAAAGAGCATGTTAAAGTCACAAGCGAGCCCAAACCAGGGTTCCTGGAGCGGCTCAGTGAGACCTCTGGAGGCATGTTGATTGGACTTGTGACGTTTCTTCTGGCTTTCTATGTTCTTTTTACCAATGAAGTAAGTGCAATACTGTCAGTGTTTGTGCACAGCATTATTTCTTGACCCATGAGAAGAGGAGGTTTGGTGTGGGGACCTGCTGCTTGTGCTCAGGATGTAACAGAAAAGTGAAATCACAGGCCACAGGTAGTATTTCTCTGGAACGAGGCAGAGACAGTAGCAGTGTGTGATGAGAGATAAGCTCCAAAGCTTGTAAACTGATGATGAAACAGCCTGTGCTAAGAGGGTTGCATGAGCCAGCCCTCTTTTTTTCTTGAGATAACAAAAGGTCCTCATTTCTAGTGGTGTTACAATTACTTTAAAGAAATTCATACCCCATGTTGCAAAATTGGAATAGTTATTTATTTGTTTTTTCTCAGTATTATTTCTTTGCTTTAGATACAATTAAAAAAAAAAGTAAGCGAGGAATCTTAAGACCCTACCATTGAAAGCATACTTGTTTTGGCAGTTTTGGAGTGGAGAGCAGAATTCTGTGGATTTTCACTTAGAGACTTCTTTTCATACCTCTACAAGAGGAAAAATAACAGCTCCAAATATTGATGACTTTGCAGAAAAAAAACATATCAGGATATGATGGTGAGGCAGGGAAAACTTCTCCCAAGGAGCCAATATAGGTGTGTGGAAAATTAACTGTAATTTGTATCATTTTTGCACTTATTCAAGAATGATGAACAAGGCAAGAGGTGCAGAGCAGTAAGTTTGGATCCATGTAGGAGGAATTTGGGTCTGTTTGAGAAGCTTAGTTGATGTTAGTGGTCCTGCTGCCTGACTGAAGTACTGCCCCAAACTGGCTCAGACAGAGAATGGAGAAATGAGTGTGTTTCCAAAATATGCCTTGGACTGAATATACAAGTATTTCTTGTGGTCATCAGTTCACTTGTCTGCTAACCTTGTTCACAAAATGCTGCTGTGATGTTGATTCTCCACAAGCTGATTTCTGTTTTCTTTGTTGCAGGGACGAGCTTTAAGGACAGCCAGGTCTCTTGATGAGGGGCTTTCTCTTGTGGTCCCTCTTGACAGCATCCACAGCATCTCTCAGCAGAATGAGGGGAGACTGGTGCACTTGGCTGGAGCTCTGAGTACATCCAAGGTAAATAAAATAGAATCTTGAAGATATGAATATTTCATGCTAGGAGGGAAGGAAAAGTCTTTGCCAATTAAAGTTTTGTTTGATATCCAGGGAAGAAAACATGGTTTTTGTCCTCCTCTATGCATTGGCAGTACCACTCAAGCTCTGGTTCTTGGCCTGGAATCAGGGAGATGCTGAATGGCCTTGCACTCCCTTCTTCAAGCCAATGCCAGCTGTAGCTGTGTTTACCCTCAAGCTGCCTTTTGTGGATAATTTCAATTGCCATTTGTTAGGGAACCTAACAAATGTGTTAGGTTGTGTGTTGTGATATTGTTAAGTCTTCAGGCTCTTGCAGCACAGGAGCTCTGCAGGTTTTTACTTTTCAGTACAGATAACATTTTCCATGGTCCACCGTGGACATTGCTGAAGGTAACAGAGC